AGACCACCAGGTGCTTCTGGGTCACCTTTCGGTCACCGCCCAGGGATTCCTACCATCGAATGTGGCTGAGGAAGGTCAAAGCCTCCAGCTTTCAGTGTGGATCACACCTCGGCACAAAGGAAACAAAAATCCTAGCAACGGACCGATAAGCAAGATCACCACGCAGGGGGAAGACTGCAGTTGTCAGGGATTTCATTTTTCTCGGATCCACGATCAACATCCATGGAAACAGCAGTCAAGAAATCAGATGATGCATTGCACTGGGCAAATGTGCTGCAGAAGGCCTCTTTAAAGTGGTGAAGAGCAAAGACGTCACTATGAGGGCTAAGGTGCGCCTGACCCAAGCCGTGCTATTTTCAGTAGCCTCATAGCATATGAAAGCGGGATACTGAATAAGAAAGACCACCGAAGAGTTGATGCGTTTGAATTGTAGTGCTGGCAAAGAATACCGAATGTACCATGAACTGCGAGAAAAACGAACAAATCTGTCTCAGAGGAAGTGCAGCCAGAATGCTCCTTAGGAGAGCAAGACTTGTCTCACTGCCTTTGGTCACGCTGTCAGAAGGGACCGGTCCCTGGAGAAGGCTGTCATGCTTGGGGGAGACTCTCGACGAGATGGACTGACACCCACTGGCTGCAACAGCGGGCGCTAGCACAGCAAGGAGCGTCTGGCGCAGGACCTGCGGTGTTTTCTTCTGTTGTGCGTGGGCTTGCCACGAGTCAGGGTTGATTCGACAGCACCAGCATCAACAACGACGTGGTTGTTGGCTGCTTGACTCACAGTGACTACAACGCCAGGGCAGAACTGCCCCACAGGGTTTGCTAGCTGTGGTCTTCATGGGAGCAGGTCTCCACGTCTTTTTCTCATGGAGCAGGTGGCACGCTCGAAATGCCTTGCTGTTCTGTGCTGTTGACTTATCTCTGACTCACAGCGACCCGATGTACAATAGAACGAAACACCGCCCGGTCCTGTGCCAGCCTCATGATCCCTGACACCCGAGCCCATCGCTGCAGCCGCTGCGTCAGTCCATCTCGTTGAGGGCCTTCCCCTTTTTCGTTGACCCTCCACTTTACCAAGCATGGCATCCTTCTCCAGGGAATGGTCCCTTCTGACAACATGACCAAAGGAGGTGAGACGAAGTCTGGCCACTCTCGCTTCCAAGGAGCACGTCGAGCAAGTATCAAATAATTGTGATATCTGATAAACAATTTCAGCATTATTCAGAATCGGCTGCCCTCGAGGCTGGATTCCATTAAAGCAGGAAAGAGGAATAATTTGGGCCTCCAGGCCCTGAGCCGACTCTGTTAGGCGTTGCTGACATCTTTAAGTGTGTTAAGGGACTGCCATTTAGTCCAGTTTTAAATAGCAACCAGTGGCAAAAGGAATTGGTACCAAGGCAGAACCATTAAACAGTGGAAGGCCCTTGTAATGTCCAATTCAATTGCTTTACAAACTTGCCATAAACCAGGCACCGCCATGATATTTGAAACCCGTGATGTAAACCCAAAGCGTGACTGTTTCTCAAGTCCTACATCCTTCAGGAATTCCTCTCATCTGCGAACTGTGTTGAGTGCTCAGCTATTACACGCAAGGTGGTGATTCGAACCTGAAGTGCGTCTGAAGGCAGGTGGTGATCTGCGTCTGGAGTACAGCTCTGCCCGCACCCGGGGGTCGCCGGGAGGTGACCAGACTCACCCACACTAACAGCAAACCGCTGGAGGTCAGGGCAGGGGAGACTGCCCTTCTCCTCCCTAGCCTGGTTTCAAGTCTAGACCTGAACTCTCTTTGCTTCAGGAGACAGAGTAGATTTGGCTCCAAGTATCTGTTGTTTCCCAGGCAAAGAAACCAATATGGCCACTGAAGGAAAAAAACAGGAACACAAAAAGAGATGTGAGGGGAGGGCATCAGGAAGCAGCTAGGCAAGAGAAGGTTTCTCCAGACGAAATCGCGCACCAGGGCCCGTTTAATTCAGACCCCTTTGCAGTCCTGCAAACACAGAGCAGCTGGCACCGGGAGAAATCCCTACCATTTCGCCAGCTCCTAGCAGAAAGGATGATGCTTGATTCCATAAAAAACCATCTTGGTTCCACACTGTGTACCAGGATATAGACTAGCTCAAGCTTCAGTCACTTCTGGGCTCCAGGAGCTAGAAGCCCCGACAAGAGGCTCAGCGTGGCGTGAAAACGCTGGGCGCTCAGACGGAATGGGAGCCCAGCCCTGCCCCTTCCCAGTCGCAAAGGCGTCCTCCTTAGAGCAATAGCTGCTGTCAACCAGACCAGGGAGCAAGCCCCAGAAGCCGCGCACCGAACGCCTGTTGTTGGACTGAACTTGAAGTGAAGGGACCAGTACCGTGAGTCTCTGCAGGAGGCAGAGCCGAGTTGCTGCCCAGTGACGAGGCCTCACGTTCCTTCTGCAAACACCCATCACGCCCGCTAACCCCTACCCTGGAAATAAAAGGAGAAGTGGATCCCTGGTCCCTCAAACCACCGGAGTTCAGAGTCTGCGCGAGGAAAAGCTGTAACGGATGCCCGCACGGCAGTGCAGCAGGACAGAAGTGATGAACTCTGCCTGAGGGAGCCAGGGAGGAGCCACACAGCCAGCCAGACACACACACACACACCCATGTACAGAGGCTTGGAGGAAGGACATAAGTTTTCTAGGTCATTCGAGCCCATGCAAATGCACAGACCTCTTCTTGTCTGGAGCAAAGAGTGAAGAAAATCAAAGACTTATCAAAACAATTAGTCCAAAGGATTAATGGACCACGTGAACCTCAGCCTTCACCACCCTGAGACCTGAAGAACTAGATGGTGCCCGCCTACCACTGCCATCCACTCTGAAAGGGATCGCAATAGGGTCCCGGATAGAGTGGGAAAAAAGTAGAACTAAACTCAAAATCAGAAAGAAAAAAAAAAAAACCAACAAAACAAAACAGGTCTCCTGGTCTGTTTGAGACTGGTAACCTCAAGACTATGGCCCTTAGACAGCCTTCAAACCTAGAATTGAACTCACCCCAGTGCCTCCACTTTCAGCCTGACAATAGGCCTATACGGTGAACAGTAACACCAGGGAGGTATGCACTCCTTCGAACAACCAACCCTAAGAGATCAAAAGGGCAACTTTAGCCCAGGCACAAAGCTCAGAAGACAAGAAAGAAGGGCAAATGGACATGGGGAAGACGGAGAAAGTGGGAAGAGAACTGTTACACCGAAGAGATTACAATTATAATCAGTGTCACAAAGCAGAATGTACATGAATTGTTCAAGGGAAAACCAATTTGCTTCATAAACTTTCACCCAAATACAATACAACATTTAAAAGGAAAGAGAAATGAAGGATAAAAGTAGTGGTAAATAGGTTTAACTATGCCAAGAGGAGGTCTCGTGGTGCAAGGGTTAAGCACTCAGCTGCTAACCAAAAGGTGGCTGATTCAAACCCACCAGCTACTCCATGGGAGAAAGAGGAGGCAGCTGGCCTCAGCAAAGATGGACAGCCTGGGAGACCCTCTGGGGCAGTTCCACTCTGTCCTCTAGGGGCGCTGTGGGTCAGAATGGACTCCATGGCAGTGGGTGTGGTTTGGGCTTTGCTTCATGAAGATTGACAGCCTGGGAGACCCTGTAGGGCAGTTCCACTCTGTCCTCTAGGGGCGCTGTGGGTCAGAATGGACTCCAGGCAGTGGGTGTGGTTTGAGCTTTGCTCCATGAAGACTGACAGCCTTGGAGACCCTGAGGGCAGTTCCACTCTGTCCTCTAGGGGTGCTGTGGGTCAGAATGGACTCCAGGCAGTGGGTGTGGTTTGGGCTTTGCTCCTGTGAAGACTGACAACCTGGGAGACCCTGTGGGTAGTTCCACTCTGTCCTGTAGGGGCGCTGTGGGTCAGAATGGACTGGATGGTAGTGTTTCAGTTTATAAGGCTGCCAGGCACTGGCCCTGCAGCTTATTATTAAGTACACATATAAGCTCTAAGATGCAGGTACCATCCTCTTCTGTGTTACCGAGGAGGAAACAGCCACTGAAGCAGGCAACTTGCCCAGACCTCCCAGCTAGATGGTATGTGGCCCAGAGGACCAAACCCAGGCAGCCAGAGAAGCTTAAGGAGCAGGGACCTGGGTGGTCGGGTCTGCGATGGGCATAGCCCACCCCGGCTGCAGAGGGGGTGCGTGGCTTGGAAATTGGCCCAGAGGAGGCAGGGATCCGAGCCTGGGGGCTGAGGCAGTGAGGCTGCAGTGGTAGACTTCTCAATTCACTTTCGTCCAGTGCACGGCATGTCCACCCTGCACCTGACTGTTCCTAGAGACCATGAGTCAGCCTGACTTCACTGCCACCAGAGAGGGGTCTAGCAGGTGAGATGCGTTCACTGAAAGCTAGACAGAGAGTCAGGCACCGGAGACATCAAAACGAGGAAAGCACCACCCCTATCCCCAAGGGGGTGGGTCTCCTGGCCCCGAACAGCCTCGACGCAGGATGCTACGTGTTGCGGCAGAACGCGGAGGGCCCAGGACCCGGCGGGGAGGAGGTGGTAGGAGGGTCTGAACCCAGCGGAGAGGGTCGCCAGACGCGTCAGGTGGGGGGCGGATCCGGCAGCTGCCCCGCTTACCTTCTTGATGGCCCGCGCGCGGGACACGCCGGGCAGCCCCACGTCGTGGCGCGTCTTCCTGCCCAGGATCTGGAACTTCTGCCTGTTGACTTTCACCTCGAAGGGGTTGAGTTTGGGCTTCGCTTTGACTCCCCGCGCCCCGGCTTGGGCCCCGGGGGGCTTCCTTACCGACTCAGCGGACTTAGCCTTTCCCATGACACACGCACCCCTAGGCGATCGGCTTCTCACAGGCCTGGAACCAGGCAAAGAGAAGAACCAGACCGTGAGGAGCGACACCTGGACGGGCTAGGCAACCGCGGACTGGCTTGGAGCGCGGCTTCCTGACAAACACGTGTCGGCGACAGGGGACAACCGCTCAGCCCCTTCTCGCGACAAGTGCGCCAGCGCTGCAGATACCGCGAGAATGGGACACATCCGGTAAGATCCCAACACGCTCCATCTTAGCTCTTTGGGCCCTTGGTTCGGAGCGACTTCAACTCCCGGCAGGCCTCGCTTCCTCTGACTTGACTTCCTGTCTGCGCAGTGCTTTCCGGGAGTCGTAGTGCTCCGCGTGACGCCGCACGGTCTCAGACGCGGCGACCAGTAGGGGCGCTCGGGTCCCCTCTCCAGGGAAGCCGTTAGCTGGCCCGCCCGTGGGCGACCGGCAGGCGGCGGCCCTGCCGATGAGCCCGTCCCTGGGGCGGGTCTCGGCGGAGACTCGGGGCGGCCCGGGGGCCGGGCCCTAAAGAGCGCGTTGCGCGCGGGAGATCTGAGCGATGGGGCCGAGAGGAGCCCGGTCGGCTCCGGCTGCAGCGCGGCGGCAGTGACAGCGGCGACCCTCAGAGGCCCGGCCGCCCCAGTCCGGGGCTCTCCTCGCCCAGTCCGCCCCATTTCTGGAGCCGACGTCCACGCCTTCCGGGACCGAGACCCACGGGCCTGGCGGCGGAGCCCGTGGTGGTGGCGGCGCCCGCTGTGGTGGCGGAGGCGACGGCGGGCCAGCTCCCCGGCGTCGCGGGGGCACGACGCGCGGGTGGCGACCCGAGAGCGATGCTCGGAGGCGGCCTCGAATCCTTCCCCGGCCCGTCCTGCAGCGCAGCGGCGGCGGCCTCGGCGGCGGCGGTCCCGACGGCGGCGGCCTCGGCGACAGCGGGACACAGCCCTCGAGAACCTCGCGGCCAACACGCTGCTGCTGAAAGCCCGCGAAGGTGGGTGAGCTCGGGGCCGCGGCACCCGGCCCTGCCTCAGCGCGGGCGGCCGGCCGGTCGCTGCGCCACCTCGCGTCGCATCGTGGGGCGAGCAGGGTCCTGTCGGCCCGTCCGCGGACGGAGAGAGCGAGACCGCTGCGTGCAACCCGCAAACACCCCCTGTGCCTCGGAAGACTTTCGTAGAGGTCCACGAAGTGTCCGGGAAACGGCCCCGGGCGCGACCCTCCAGCGGGTGCTTTACACCCTGAGGGTTTAGCAGAGCTTCTCCTTGCGAGCTTTGTTCGAGGCTCTATGGCGTTTTGAGTGGGTTTTAGCGCACCGGGATGAGTGCGGAAGTTGACGGTTCATACCCACCCTGTGGTTACGCGAGAGCAAAGCCTGGAGATCTGCACCGTAAAGATCACACACACACACACATGAACCCAAACCAGCTGTGCGGTAAAGATTCCACACGTACACACAGAAACACACACACGGACACCCAGACATAGACACACACACATACACACACACACACGAACCCAAACCAGCTGTGCCTTTAAGATTCCACGCACACAAAGAAACACATACAGAGACACACATACACAGAAACACACGAACCCAAACCAGCTGTGCCTTTAAGATTCCACGCACACAAAGAAACACATACAGAGACACACATACACAGAAACACACGAACCCAAACCAGATGCCAGCGAATTGATTCCCACACATAGCAACCCCACGTGGAGGAGTAGAACTGCCCCATAGGGTTTCCAAGGCTGTCATCTGGAGGAAGCAGACTGCCTCCTCTTACTCCCGCTGATCACCTGGGGGTTGAGACATTCGGGTTAGCAGCTGAGGTCTTTAACACTGCTCCACCAGGCCTGCTCCTGCTGTAAAGACTTGTTATGTGCCCTTGAGTCCGACTGACTCATAGCGACCCCTCCTTGGGTTTCTGAGGTGGTGGTATCACTACGGAAGTAGATTGCCCCACCTTCCCTCGGAGGATTGGCTGGTGGGTTTCAACTGCCAGCCTTCTGGTTAGCAGGTGCCTTAGGCACTATGCCACCAGCTTGGGAAACCTCCTGGGGCCCTTCTACTCTGTCATATGGTATCACTATGAATAGGAATCGATTTGACAGCACCCAGCAACGACAATTTTGGTGTGAAATGAACAGCTGGTTCTGCTCTTCGGAAGACCACCAACGTGTGTCCCCCCTCTTACCTCCCAGACCTGAAGTTGCCATCCCAGCCCAGGTGGGATGAGTCGGTGATTTGGGGTCATTTCTTGGAGTGAGCAAGCAGCTGCTCTTTGTGCTGGAGCAGGGTAGACACAGGCTTCAGGCTCCAAATGGCCGGTGCTACTTATTTAAAGACGAGCTGAGGCTGGAGTCAAGTGCACCGCTTGCCAGAGCTTCAGGCTTCAGTGGCAGGCACAGGTGTCAGGGTGTGAGACCCCTTTCAGGAGGAATATATGTGTGTGTGTGTGTGTGTGTTTGTTTAATGTTTAATTGTGATGTGGGCACGCATTTACAAAGGAGATTCATTTTACTCTCAACAGTTCATGCACATTTTGTTTCATGGCCCCGATTATAATCCCTAACCATGAAAAGCTCTCCTCCCTGTGACCACCCCTTCCCTGTGCCCTTCTTAACTAGGCATTCCTGTCTGTCCAGCTTTCCCTCCATGTGAATGCTGTCCCTCTGGTGTCTCACGAATGATTGATTTAAGGGGTGCATCTCCCTGGGGTAGGTGTTCTGTTTCTCGGTCTTTCTACTTTTGAGCTGAGAGAGCAAACCAATCCATGAAGTCCAGCTCCAGTCCTGAAGGGTAACCCGGGACCATAGTCTCAGGGGCTCTATCAATCTCTATCTGACCAGTAAGTCTGGTCATTTTTGTGTTTTTGAATTTTGTTCCACATTTTCCTTCCCACTCTATCCAGCATCTCCCATTTTGATCCCTTTCTGAGTGGTTGGCACTATCTAATCAGGACTCAGGGTTGTGAAGCCTAGGGTCTCTGTAGTCCATCATATGGTTGGACTTACTGTTTCCAAATGAATTTGATTTTCTTCATTCTTCTTAGCTTCAGACGAGGGGAGACCAATAGTCACATCTTAGATGACCGCTCGATAGTTTTTAAGACTCCAGTCATTACTCATCAAAGTAGGATGTAGAACAAGATTTTTCTGTAGGTTGTTCCAGTTGAGCAGAATGTCCCCTGAGAGTATATGATCCCGAGCCCACAGGCATGGTGACTTTCTCACTCAAGGTTTTTGGTTGCCACTCCAACCTTGTCCCCTGTTACTTCTGTACTGTATATGGATATTACTGTAGCACAAGGACCTATGTAAGACTATCTTCAGCCACATCTATCCTTGGTCTTGGGTCCATCCCTGTTCTCATGCCCCCACCGAATCGTCTCACCTGTCTATGCATTCACTCACAGCCTAGTGTTTGCTGCCACTGGTAATGCAGTATTGTGCATGTAATAGTATTTACCTCTGTTGTCTGTATCCTTTATGTACACTTCTGTGTCCTCAGGAAGAAGAGTGGTGTGCTTTCTTGACACTTTTGAGTTAAGTCATAAAAAATAACCAAACCCACTGTCATCATGTGGATTCCAACTCACAGCACCCCTAGAGGACAGAATAGAACTGCCCCAGAGGGTTTCCCAGGCTGTCAGTCTTCATGGAAGCAAAGCCAAACCACACCCACTGCCAAGAAGTCTATTCTGACTCACAGCGCCCCGAGAGGACAGAGTGGAACTCCCCAAGGGGTCTCCAATGCTGTCAGTCTTCACGGAAGCACACTGCCCTATCTTTCTCCTGCAGAGCAGCTGGTGTATTCAAATCACTGACCTTTTGCTTAGCAGACAAATGTTTCAACCACTACACCACCAGAGCTCCCTAAGTAACTGCAGAGTCGCACAGAATTACATACTGAAGTTAGGGTTTAGGTGGAGGACTTGGTATGAAAAAACAGAGAACCTTTCTCTTGTAAAGTATTTCTTACATTAAGATGTGAATACAGGTTTCTTACCCTCAGTGTCTGAGTACCTTCTCTCACCTCTTTTCAGTAGAAGACCTGAGGGTAGGTAGGGAGAGAGCCAGATCTTAACACCACTTTTCCCACTTCTTCCCTGTGTTTCCTGTTCCCTTTCATCCTTCTTTCCTATCCCTTCTTTCCTTCTCAGCTTTATCCCTGGACAAATGTTCCCTTATGATGTCGTAGAGTTGATTTTTTTAAGGGATGTGTACCTCCTTGGGGTTATTTTTCACCTTATAGGCCTGTTGTTCGGTTAAAATTTGAGCCACAGAAACAAGTTCAGTTCTACCCTTTAAGAGTAACTAAGGACCATAGTCACTATGGACTGGTTTTGGCTATTTTTAATCAGACAAACATGTGATCTACTATGCCAGGAATGACAGTTTGAAGAGGAGTGGCATGGTATTCATCATTACAAAGGATGTTTCAAGATCTGTCCTGAAGTACAATGCTGTCAGTGATAGGATAATATCCATACACCTACACGGAAGACCCGTTAATACGACTATAATTCAAATTTATGCACCAATCACCAAAGCCAAAGATGAGGAAATTGAAGAATTTTATCAACTTCTGCACTCTGAAATTGACCAAATATGCAATCAGGATGTGTTAATTATCACTGGCGACTGGAATGCAAAAGTTGCAAACGAAGAAGAATCACCGGTAGTTGGAAAATTTGGCCTTGGTGACAGAAATAATGCTGGAACTCACATGGTAGAATTTTGCAAGACCAACGACTTGTTCATTGCAAACACCTTTTTTCAACAACACAAACAGCAGCTTTCCACGTGGACTTCACCAGATGGAACACACAGAAATCAGATTGACTACACTTGTGGCAAGAGGTGGTGGAAAAGCTCAATGTCTTCAGCCAAAACCAGGTCAGGAGCTGATTGTGGAACAGACCATCAACTGCTCATATGCAA